AGTGGAGGTAGACTTGGTTGATAAGTCGAACCACTATAAATTGTTGTGCCAATTTTTCTCTATCTTTTACTCTCCTTACTCCCTAAACATTTTATTGCCAATTCACCCCATTGCAACTCTTTCAGTCGTCAATTCGAGCTTCCACAAATCCTAATAATTGGTATCATAGCCTAACTCTTTATAAGATTTAACCACCTTGAGACGTTCCTAAAAGAAGCTCTACAAATTTCCGATGCAACCGACAAAGAAATGGATTCAACCTCCGGTGCCTATTTCATTCAAGATTCACAACCGGTCAACAAGCCACCCTACTTCAATTGAGAAAATTATGCCTATTGGAAGAATATGATGATGCTCTTCATTCAAGCTAATGATTTAGGAGTTTGGAACTCAATTATTAAAGGATACACCATTCCAACATACGAGATGGATGATTGGAGTGATTGAGAGAATAAAAAGTTCCAACTCAATGCTAAGCCTGTGCACATCATTTTTTTATGCACTATGCCCTTATGAATATGGAAAAGTCGCATCTTGTTCCAATGCCAAGGAGATATGGGATAAGATCTAAGTCACTCATGAAGGAACCGATGAAGTGAGAGAAACCAAGATAAGTCCTCTCAACCATAGCTACGAGAATTTCAAGATGAAACCCGATAAAGGCATCAAAGATATGACGGATAGATTTTCCATAATTGTCAACGATCTAAAGGGATTAGGAGAATTAATCCCTAATGAGAAGCTTGTGAGGAAGATGGTATCCTCTTTTCCAAAGTCTTGGCAATCAAAGAATACGAAAATTATCGAGGCTAAAAACCTAAGGTCTCTCACTCTCGACGATTTTATTGGTTCTCTTCTTACTCATGAGTTAATGATGAAGGAAGAGGAAGGCGATGAAGAAAAGAATGACAAGAAGAAAAGAAGAAGGAGGTAGACGTTGCCTTCAAGTCCACCAACGAGAGCTATCAATATTAAAATGAAGAGGTTGATGAAGACGATGATGAAGAAGAAGAGATGGCTAAGCTCTTCAAAAAGTTCAAGAGATTCATGTCTTCTAAGGAAGTGAAGCATTAATCGAGCAAGAAGATGAGTCCCCCTGTGTGCTTCAATTGTCAAACAACATGGCATGTCAAGTATGAATGTCCCTTCCTAATGAAGAATGGATCATTTAAGAAAAAGACATTTGTGGCAGCTTGGAGTGATGAAGATGATTCCAATGATGAAGGTGAAGTAGCCAACCTATGCCTTATGGCCATCGAAGAAGATTCAATGGTATATTCTAACTCAAATGATTTAAATTCACATTCTTTTGATGAGTTACAAGATGATTATAATGATTTGTATTTGGAATTTGAGACCATGAATTCCAAATATAAGAAATTAATTTCAAAACTTAAAGTTGAAAATGATTTGGGTTTGAAATCAAAAGTTGATTTTGAAAATCAAAATGAAATGTTGAAAAATGATTTAGAGCTTTCAAAAGTCAAAATCAATGATTTAGAAAAATAAAATTTTGATTTGAAAGTTAAGCTTGAAAGCTTAACAAAAGAAAAAAAATTAATTTCTAAAAACAACTCATTCTGTTTAAAAATGGCAAAATGCTCACATTGCCATTTTCATGGTCATTTGGAACATACTTGTCCCATAAAGAAAAGAAAATCTTTTAAAATTAGACAAGTATGGGTTCCTAAGGGAACAAGGGGCATTGAAACTAACGTCCAAGGATCCAAAGTAATTTGGATACCAAAATCCAAATAAATGTCTCTTGTAGGTGTGTGAGAGCAATGGTGATGAAAATGAAGAAATCAAGATGCTCTAGCCACACTAAAAAATGAATGGGTAACTTCTAAGCTTAAAAGCTTTTTAATTTTGCTTAATTGGTTGCTCATTTCTTTATGCATGCATGAGTTTGATTTTAAATGATTATGCATCGTTTTTTAATCTCATGTATGTTAAAAAATACTTTATGATGAAATTTTAAAGTTTTAATGTTTTTTCATAATTTTTAGTTCATCATAATGAATTTTGGTCAAAATTGATTTTCAATGCAAATGATATCTCTCTAACAATTGATATCAACTTTTCAAATTTTAAATTTTTGACCTAATTTTAAATGTTTATGCATGTGTTTTAAATGCAAAAGATATATCTCTAACAATTGATATGAAATTCTTCGAATGCATAACATTTTTGAAAGCTTTATGCACATGTACTTAATTTCAAAATTTGGTATTGCATAAAGTATTTTAGACTTGCATATATTGAATTTCATGTGTTACTAACATGTTTGTTACTCTTGTTAAAATTCAATTTGTTTAGTGTAAGCTTTTAAATTAAATTTTTTGTTTGGAATACACTTTTTGAGGGGGAGCTTTGATTTTTCAAATGCTTTTAATGTCAAATTTATCACTTACTCTCCAATGTTGTTTTAGAAATTTAAAGTTGAATTGTTTTTTATGTAACAAAAAGAGGGAGACGTATGAGTTTGAAATTTTCAAATTTCTTAATGAAAAAAGGGGGAGATGAACATTTTCACATATTTTCCAATAATTGATATTTTTTCGTTAAATATTTTATTAAGGGGGAGTTTTGCAAAAATGATTTTTCAAATGTTTTATTATATCAAAAAGGGGGAGATTGTTAAACTATATTTTGATATAACAATTAAGAGAAAATGTTTTTGGACTTGAATTGAATTTATTCAAAGTTTTTCAAAGTTTTCAAAAATAATTCAAAGTACACTTAACTTGGAATTGAGCACAAAATGTTTTTTTGGACAAGTAGTATAGATATTGTTCTTACAGTATCGATACCTCATGAACAATACCGATATTGTTCATATGGTAACGATACCAAGGTAAGGGAAGTATTGATACTCACTAGGAAGTATCGATACTCACTAGGAAGTATCGATACTCACTAAGTAGTATCGATACTACCAGCATTGCTCAAATTCCAGAATGCAAAAATAGTACCGATACCGAAAGGGGCACCAATACTACTTTAATTAGTAGTATCTATACCATAGGCATATTATCGATACCATCAGGCCCCAACGGCTAGTTGTATTTAAAAATAACAAAGGTAGTATTGATGCTCCCTTTAGGAGTACTGATACCCTCTGTACTGGCAGTTTTATTTTGCAAAGATTTCATCCCAAACGGCTAAAAATCATCCCTGACGGCTAGAAACGGCCACAACTTCATTCCAACATATAAATACAAGTTCAAGATACTTGAAGAAGGGTTAGAACACCTATCCAAGCAATCAAACACAAGAGAAGAACTTTTCACTCTTTATTATGATTCTCTTGTAATATTTGTTCTTGTGAGCTAAATTTTTTAACACCTACCTTAGAGAAGTTCTTTGTTTACTTCTTTTATTCCTTTATAAAGGGGTTTTTGGTTCTATCTTAGTCAATTGAAAAGATAGGGAGTTTGTAAAGGTTACTCTTGATCCTTTAAAAAGAAAGAATAAATGAGTGAATTTGTTAGAAAATCCTAAGTGAGGAGCTTAGGTAGTGGAGGTAGACTTGGTTGATAAGTCGAACCACTATAAATCCTTGTACCAATTTTTCTCTATCTTTTACTCTCCTTACTCCCTAAACATTTTATTGCCAATTCACCCCCTTGCAACTCTTTCGCTTGTCAATTCGAGCTTCCTCAAATCCTAATATTAATGTTGCATCACTTTTATTCTGTATATTGATGCATTTCTGTCATTTGCGTGGGATCATCTTCTGATGGCAATATCTCTGTCATGTTTCTGCATGGGATCATATCCTCGTCATGTTTCTGCATGGGATCATATTCTCATCATGTTTCTGTTTGGGATCCTCTTCGGAGGGTTATATCCTCATTCCGATTTTTGTATTCTGATTTGGATACCTCTTCAGACGACAACGTCCCCATCATGATATCTACGGTGAAAGGTAAAGTTGAGTAAGTTTCCTATTATTACATTCCAATAACGGTCAATTGGTTTACAATTGCCTAATTTTAAATTGCATATTTATGACATGTCATTTTTAATTATGTTATTTATCGATATTTGTTTTATTGTAGAGGACACATTAAGCTCTATAGCTAACTCTTTTAGTTTTTGTTAGATCCCTCATACCTCTAGGATTACTACTGATGCTTGGAGGATCATTTAGTAGCATGTTTTCCTTTCAGATCTCATATAGATGTTTTTAAATTTTACATTATTTATTTTTTTAAAATTTAAAATTTATTATATGAGACTTTGAGATACTATGTTTTACATGTTTGGGCTTTAAACTTGTATTATAATATATATTATGAACTCTTATTTCTATTTACGAATTTGTATCAATTTCTTGACGATGTATGTTATAATTGAAATTTCATGATTATGTTAATCTGAATTTCTATGGTCTCTGAGTTTTGATCCTAATGTCTAGATCGAATTTAGGGGTTACATAATTAGTTTTTAGAAAAACATTTTCTACATTTCCAATATTTATTTTACAAAAATCATTTTTTGAAATCCACTTTACCTGAAACGGACTCTAAATTTAAATACCAACCTCAACTGTTTCTATGCTGGGAATTTGGACAGGTTAGTTGTCTGTCAATAGGCATGACCTACAACAATCCATTGCCTAACCTTTCCACTTTACCCACAGTATACTATTCTCCCTCTTTTCTTCCCATTTATGTTAAAAAAAACACTGCCAATAGTTCCTTGGCAATAACTACAAAACTCTGAACCACGTACAATTGGAAACTTGGAGACGTCAAAAACTCTTTTCAGCTTACTTGCGAGAAACCTCGCTCTCTTTATTAGATTTTTTAACATGATTTCTTTATTTGTATTATCATTAAATTTATTGTTGTATCGAAATTTCATCTTTCATCTTATAATGATTTTACCTATAAATAAATGAATCTATTTGATAAAAATGGAAACCTCGCTATAATCTCGTATATACACAAAGTGAATATTCCTTAAATCCCTTGAAGAGAGTGATTAGAGAGACGATATGGAAAGGGATAGCTTAGAGATGGATAAAGAGAAGCCGACGGCGGAAACGATCTTCAAAGACTCCTCATCCGCCGTCATCAAAGTCCGGCGGAGATTACCTGATTTATTGCAATCTGTAAAGCTCGAGTATGTAAAGTTAGGCTATGGTTATTTATGTAACCCCTACTTGATACTCATGTTTGCCCTAATCCTACCGCTTTCCATTCTAAGTCTGGTTTACTTCGCGGGTCTAAAACGGGATCCGAATTCAGAGCTATGGACCAATCGAGCCCTTCGGCTTGAGAGCATTGATGCTGCTAAAAGACTAGCTGGTTCGCTAGTTGTATTCTTTCTCCTTGGTCTCTACTTGGCCAAGCGGTCCAGGCCGGTTTACCTCGTCGACTTCGCTTGTTACAAACCCGAAGATGATCGTAAACTATCATTCGACTCGTTCCTGAAGATTTCGGAAAACAGCGGAGCTTTCACGGAGGACACGCTTGAATTTCAAAGAAAGATATCGATTCGGTCTGGTTTAGGCGACGAGACGTATGTCCCTCGAGGAATAACATCGAGTCCACCGAATCTCTGCATGGAAGAGGCTCGAGCTGAAGCTGAATCTGTCGTGTTCGGAGCACTCGACTCGCTTTTTGAGATATCCGGAGTCAAACCAAAGGATATCGGTATCCTTATCGTGAATAGCGGCTTATTTAACCCAACCCCATCTCTCTCATCCGTGATAGTCAACCACTACAAGCTACGTACTGATATCAAGAGCTACAACCTTGGAGGAATGGGGTGCAGCGCCGGCCTTATATCGATCGAGCTCGCTAAAAACCTCCTCCAAGCCATTCCGAACATGTATGCAGTAGTGGTAAGCACCGAGAACATCACCCTGAATTGGTATTTCGGGAATGACAGGTCCATGTTGCTATGCAATTGCATATTCCGCATGGGTGGAGCCGCAGTGCTCTTGTCGAACAAGTCCCGAGACAGGGTTCGTTCCAAGTACGAGCTCGTCCACTTGGTTCGAACTCATATGGGTGCGGATGATGTACATTACAACTGTATTTACCAAAGAGAAGATGAAAAAAGGACTGTTGGGGTTTCATTGGCACGTGAACTAGTGGATGTGGCTGAAGAGGCACTGAAAACCAATATCACCACTCTGGGTCCACTTGTATTACCATTGACAGAACAGTTGAAGTTCTTCGTTACCCTTGTTAAAAAGAAGATTTTCAAGGCCAAATCTAAGCCCTATATGCCTGATTTCAAGCTTGCTTTCGAGCATTTCTGCATCCATGCGGGTGGAAGGGCGGTTTTGGATAAAATACAGAAGAAGTTGAAGCTAGCAGATTGGGATATGGAGCCTTCAAGGATGACTCTACATAGATTTGGGAATACTTCAAGTAGTTGCCTGTGGTATGAGTTGGCATATTCGGAGGCAAAGGGTAGGATCTCGGGTGGTGACCGGGTATGGCAGATTGCATTAGGGTCGGGTTTTAAGTGTAACAGCGCTGTTTGGAGAGCTCTTAGGAAGACACCCATGAATAAGTCCAGGGGTAACCCGTGGAAGGGTGAAATGGACAAGTATCCGGTGAAGGTTCCTCTTGTTTGATGACTTTCTTTAATGTTTCTGTAATTTCTTTAAATACTGTTCAAAGACCTGCATTTCCTCCAAACTAATCAAACGACATGTATCTGGAAAGAACATTATGGCATTCTATACGTTTTCAATAAAGAACCCTTCAAGTAATGCTGTCATGATTTTTATAAGTAACGATTCCTAAAGAGAGTAATTATGCTATGTATTATCATCTAAAAGATGAATAATATATGGAAAATAATCTTATACAAGTTCACAATTTTCTGAAGGTTCCACTGAGATTTAAACTCGGGGTTACTGGATTCAGAGTCCAATGTCCTAACCACTAGACCATGGAACCGCTTGACAATGTTGGCTACTATTATTTAGTCTAGAAACTCTGTTTGCTAATTCCCTAGTTATATTTTTTAAATAATGGTGAATTTTATTGTTCAAAGTGAGCAGAGTAGTGATTCTAAATTACTTAAAGAAATAAAACAGTGCTAATTGCTTTTAGGGTAAACTATACATATGATCACTTAGTTATTATTTTTATTTTAATCATGATCTTTAATTTATATCATCAAATCACATGTCATTAATATTTAAAGAGATTCCAATTAAATCACATGTTAGTATTGCACGAAATATGTTATGTAAAGCTGATATAATTACACATTTGTTCTCTTATGCTTTATATTATCATTTTTAACTTTTCAATCAAGAAGTAATGTATCGGTATTTAGCGAAAATATTAACATGACAATTAATAAAAATGTATGATACGAAGAAAAATGGTCTGGTCCCCTAAATGAATTTGAAAAGCAGGGAAGATGAGCATGTGGAATTCGTCTCTCAATGCTTTCGTACCTTGCTTGCCCGCCCTCATTCCCATACGAACAAAATATCGACCTCCTTGTCATTTCTGATCAACACTTGGGCCAATTACCATCGCCAGCCATCCGCCTCTATTCCCAGCAACAAGATGGAAAAGAGATAACTAGATCGGATGTGTGTGGGCTCTGCAGAGAGCAGTCACCTAGAAAAAAAATGCCAAGGGAAAGAAGAAGGGTTTACCATGGTCTGAAGTTCACAAATATGGACAATAAAAAGATTTTATGTTAGGGGACGAACTTTTAAAATTTGAGAAGAAAATGAGTATATAAAATTTTAAGGGTAATAATATATATTAATTAAAATAAAAAAACCAAGAATATATATTAATTCAGATTTTCAAAGAGGACGATTGTATCCATAATCACATGGAAGGGATGGCATTGATTACATTAATGGTAGAGCCTTGGAGATGAAGTTTATATTTTTTAAAGCTTGTGTTTAGTTTCCAGCTTCAGGCTGTTAATAATGTTTAAGCATTCAAGTTGGACTTAAACTTAAAACTGCAGTCACCAAATTGCATAATTTCTTGTCCGTCTATTTCCTTGTTCATACCCACTAGGGTTTTGGTAGGTTCTTATTCGGCCATTAACGTGTAGGATTCTTTCATGTTCGTTGGTTTTTCTACCACCAATATCCCTTTGGATATTCAATCAGTTTATACTTTAGCAATCGACCATAAAACAAATTTCCAGAAAAATTCATCCACTTCAACCATTAAAACAGCTTTATATATATATATATATATACTCGACTACTCGAGATGGTCTTTTAGCTTTGAGCGCTTTTTAAAAGCATGCTTTAAAAAGGGAAGGCATGGACAAACAAAAAATAATGAAAAATGGGGGAAAAACATGATGGCTGCGCCAAAAATTTAAGTCGAGATTTTCCCAAAACCAATCCAATCCAACCCAATCATATTATTACCACAATACGGAGTGGCGCCTGTTACTGTATAGCCCTTGAAGGCAAAAGCCAACTTTCTGTTTCCTGCTACGTAACAATAAAACAATCCACCACGAACCAACTAAACACGTCAAACAATACTAATTCAACTACCTCTTCTAAACAGAGAACCTTTTAATGTTTTTCATATGATGCTCCAGTTTCCTGATTCCGGCATTGTTTATGCTCCTCGATTTTGGGTTGTTAAGGAAACCATCCAACTACGAGGTCTCCTGTTTGGGCAAAAGCTGCATGTCATGTCTACACCTCTGCATGAACTAATAGGGTCTATACCTTCTACTGCGGTTGCATCTGCGCCACCATTATTCCACCGCGTCCTGCTGCTCCACTTGAACCATTGCTCCAATCTGCTCTTCGAGGGAGTGGGGATGGCATCTGCACTCCAGGCTGCTGGCTGCTCAAATTCAACAATAAAAGCTATTGTTGAAAATGTGTTGTCATCTTACAAAAGTATTATAGTTTTAACGAAATGAGTGGACTTACAGGACATATCCTATTTGGCCATCTGGAGAACCATCGGTACCATAGCCATATTTGTTGGCATTGGCCCTCTTCCATATATTACTGGCTGTTGATGTGCATGATTATGCATTAGTTTTACCAATACGAGAACTATATCTAAGAAGAAAAAATGATACAAATCAACCTGATTACCTGTTGAAAAACTGTAGCAGCACCAAATCCAGCACTTGCAGAGCCATATGTAGAAGCTCCATTAAAACCACCATACCCGGGATGCTGAAGATGGTTTTGCATGAGGCACTGCACATAAGTATATGCTGCATCTGTCTTCCTATCAGCCTGAGGTTTGGCAAGGACAACCTCCAAGACTTGGCCTGCATTCAGTCAGTCGAAAACTTTTTTAGGGGAAGGCAACGACGATAGCATGTCCTGAAGAAATATTTTTAAAAGCCAACTGTAAGCAAATCCTGAAAAATGGAAAGTTTTTTTCCTTGTATATTCACAAGGCAATATACTTACAAGGACACTGATTCTATTAGATCATAATAAAGTAATTCTCATCTTCACTAGAATCCTCAATAAAATGCATAAAGATCAGTTATCACAGCAGTCTTGATATCAGTTCACTGAATTTTTTTTTGATAGAAAATATGGCCTCGTTAAAACCCCTTTCATAACCGCCAATCTACAAAGGTAGCTCAGCGGACATTGGAAGGAGGAAAAGAGTGCCATAAATTTATTACTGAAAAACCAGATACAACAAAAGTACATTATACCAATTACATCCGAACATCTCCTACCACCGAACAACAAAACCCAGTACATAACTCCTAACCAATCCCTACTTTAAACCCCCTCTTCAAACCTAAACCAATTCCCAATTTGACTCCTAACCAGTTCACTGAAAATTGATTACCTGAGACAGATGGACAAGCAATACGGGTATGGCAACCAGTAATTCTAAACATCACGACATAAGTACAACAAGACACAACACCAAGAAATATTATGATGCACAAGTATTTATTTTTCATTCACATACAGTCAATTTCTCCACAACAATTATTATCATTAAATTTCTATTTCCACCGAATAATGTCAAAAGCCAACTATTCAAGCCAAAGTTAAACAAAGATCCAATACTCATTCAGAAGGCCCAAAGTATTTCAACCCATATTACAAGCTTGCATTCAGTAGAGCATGTTACAGAGCTTATAAAAGGGGAGCTTTTATCAGGAAGTAAATAACTTCCAAAAAGTTAAAGAGAAAAAGTGCACAGGAATTTCTATGCAACTCGTAAAAGAAAAACAATCGAACATTGAAGATATGTATTAAAAACCATTATGCAGAATTAAATGGCATGCAAGCACTAAGAAGTAGATTACATGCAGAATATAGCACAGCTTTTTCCTCTTGAATGATTTAAGTAGCAGCCATACCAATCATACCTAGATTTTTTGTTTCCAAAAAGGAGTATGGGGAAATTCAAGAGAAAAATTACCATCTATTTCATATTTCTCTGTATCTTGGACAGCCTTCAAGGCACTTGACCTTTCAGCGTAATGTATAAAGCCAAAATCTCGCTTACTGGCTTTGCCAGGTGGCATAACCCACTTTTGTTACGTTCCCATGGCGCTGAAATACTTCCTTGAGTTTCTCCGTAGAAGTGTTATCGGGAATGTGTTTTTGACATACAGTGCTTTCACCTAGTAATTTCAAAACATGTAACACAGTACAATAATCTTAATATGAAGATTAGCTCTTTGATTAGTGATATGCTTAAAACAGGAGGTTGCATACATCCAATTATTAGCATTTAGCAATTTATGATACAAACAAGAGCTAAAAAAGCTTTACCCCCAGCTTTAAGAAAGAGGGGATGCGGGGGGACAAATGAGCCATAGAAGAATCCCGATAGTGGTTCCACAATATGGCACTTCAAAATAAATTTCAATATTAGAATTACCTGCAAAGCAGCAGAATTTCAGGTGTACTCTTCGGATCAGCCAGGTGACAGTAGGGTTATTGCCATCCAGCTTAAAATTTGCATTTGCCATTTTCTGCCTTGAATAATCAGCGCATGCATTGTTGTAGTACAAGACAAAAGCAAAACCACGGTTACGGCTTGTATTTTGAGGATCCTGCAATTCACAAATTAAAATGGTAAGTGGATTTCCTAATATTCACTTACCATAAACTAAAAGCATCATCTAGAGAAAAAAATCCACCTTTATTAGTTCTATATTTTCAACTCCAGGACCAGCACTCTCGACAGCTTTCTGAACTCATCCTCAGTCAAGTTCTTAGGAACATTACCGATAAATAATCTGTTCTTAGTTTCAGAGAAAGAACACCTTATAGTTTTACCCTGCAGAGATTATTGGGCATATTAAAAAGAATAACAAACACATTCGAAAGAAGCAATGGAGGTAAAGGATTGCATCGACAAGCAAATGCAAGGGACACCAAAATTACCTTGAACTCTTTACTGTGCAGCTCTTCAACAGCCTTTTCAGCAACCTCTTTTGTTTTAAATGCCACAAACGCGTAACCCTTGCTTTCACCAGATTCCTTATCTTTAATCAAACGTATCTGCAAACAACTTGCTGTTAACAGCTAACACGAGATTACCCCCACCACAAAAAATAAAAGTGCTTCAAAATCACAAGCACAAAATTGCGACCTCAAAAATTTCTCCTATTGGATCGCAAAGGTCCCTCAAGTCATCTTCTGAGGTATCCTTCGGAAGCCTCCAATAAAAACCTCGAGCCATTAGGAGGCAAGGCAAGAGGTTGAGCCCACTCCCCTTTTTCTTCTTCACTGATCGAAGACATGGGCGTTTCTTCATCTTCAGCATGTTCTGTTCAATGCGGCTTCTTTCTACTTCGAATGATGATCTTTTCCATCCGCTTCAGATTTTGAGTCCTCAGACTCTTCTTCATTTGTTCCCCATTTCATCACCACCACTATCCACTCTGTCCTCATAATCATGTTCTTCAAAGTCATCATCCTCTTCCTCCGTGTAATTGTCATCAAGAT